ATATATATAAATTTCCCGGGATTTTCAGAAAGGTCCACTTTCATCTCTGATCAAAAAAAGTCCCAGTGGCAATGTAAATGAGATGTTCGGACCCAAAGCGGCTAAAGAAATAGCCTGGCTGCTGTAAAAACTAATAACAGAGAAAAATTGAGAGCTTTGGAGGAAGAGCTTCGTGTGTCTTTCATCGATTGCTGCCAGTTCTGTGTTCATCCAAACCATTTATCACACTGAGTGAGAATAAATATGAAAGATTATCAATAAATCTAAAGAATATATTGACTTGATGTTGATTAGATTCCTATCCGAGGTGTTATAATACAGCGTTATGTTTCAATGTTAAAAAAAACGCTCATCATAACAATATAACACTTAATTGTTAAAATTAGCTTTTTTCAGCTAGTGCCTCGGCTCGAAAAAGATGCTTTGTGGTGTAATTTATGATTATGAACCATAATTTAATGGGTGTTTTTGTCTACTTGTGTCTTGCAGACATCAGTGAAGATGTTTGTCCTGAGCGGCTGGTTGCAGATCTCTCTCACATTAAAGAGGAAGAGGAGAACAACGAGGTCTCCCACTTTAAAGAAGAGGAGCAGGCCCTTCATGTGAAAATGGAGGAGCAGTCGGAGCACCCTTGCACGAAACATGGTGACAACACATCATCAAGCACTGCTGATGATGATGATGATGAAGAGTCTGATGGTGCATTTCACACTGACAACAAACCCTGGAAATGTTCTGGGTGTGGGAAGATGTTTACTAGTAAGAGTGATTTGAAGACACGTGAGAACCCACACTGGTGAGAAACCGTTCACCTGTTCAGACTGTGGCTGGAAATTCTCTCAGAAGGGACACTTAAAAAGACACATGAGAATACACACAGGTGAGAAACCTTTTGCCTGTTCAGATTGTGGTCAAAGATTCTCTCATAAAGGAAACTTAAATGCTCATAAAAGAATCCACTCTGGTGAGAAACCTTTTTCCTGCTTAGCTTGTGGTCAAAGATTCTCTTGGAAGGGAAGCTTAAATGATCACAGAAGAACCCACAGTGGTGATAAACCTCTTGCCTGTTCAGATTGTGGCCAAAGATTCTGGCATAAGGGAGACTTAAAAAGACACACAAGAACCCACACTGGTGAGAAACCTTTTTGCTGCTCGGTTTGTGGCAAAAGATTTTCTGAGAAGAGAACCTTAAAATTACACACAAGAACCCACACTGATGCCAAACCTTTTTCCTGCTCAGATTGTGGCCAAAGATTCTCTCTGAAGAAAACTTTAGAAACTCACACCAGAACACACACTGGCGAGAAACCGTTTTCCTGCTCAGTTTGTGGCCAAAGATTCTCTCAGAGGGGAAACTTAGTTTCCCACACAAGAACCCACACTGGTGAGAAACCTTTTGCTTGCTTAGTTTGTGGCCAAACATTCTCTCGTAAGGAAACCTTAAAAACTGTTAAGACATGATTTCTCTCTGTTAGCTGGATTTGAAAGAAACAATGTAGAATGCTGTTGAAGGTATTTCCTGCTTACTGTGATTACAATCACCTTTGGTAACCCCTCACCCCCACTACTTTTATGACCTCTCCAGAGGACATGTCAACATCAAAAGAGGAACTGTTATCTCAAGTATCTGTGTTGCAGCTATTGAGGGACTGCGTTTTACTATGAGTACTATTGATCTCAGTCTCTTTCCTGAACATCTGTTTGCACACTTAAAACAACGTATGTAGTGTTAAAGTTTATCTTCTTCCTGCTTGGTTGATTAACAGACCCCTACGTGTCTTTTGTTGTTCCCCCGTGCCTTCGGTCAGTCCCTGACCGCTGTTAAGCCCCCTTGGGAAGCCCTCTTGTCTCAGGATGTATACACAGCGGGGGTTCTGGAACTTGCTATCACACCAAATGGTGGGTCGTGGTGGTTTGGTCTCACCCCACCACTCCAAATGTCTTCTGTTGAGGAATTTCGCCTTACCATGAGGACTATTGAAACTAATCCGTGTCCTGTGGATCTGCTGAAGCACTCAAAACAAGGGTAGGGTTATGCATTCCTCCCCTTTGACCCCGGGACAATTTAACAAACCCCCAACCAAGGCCCTCTCCCCAGGTCCTCCATCTTCGTGGAATTCTTCAGGGCTATCAAGTTCCAGTTCCCTGGGGCAGGGATCTCTAAAACTCATGGTTAATGCACAGCCGATGTGGTCTGGAATTTGTAACCAAGTAAGGATTGAACTGTGATGACCTTTCTTTGTCTCTGATTTTTACATAAGGGGAAGGACTGCCCGCCCCTCATTAATATAATTAACATACTATGCCTATATATACGTGAGACTGTATTTTTTCGGGGCTTCCTGATGAAATCTGAGACTCACAGGAGCCCGAATCGATTCGTGTTGTGTTGTGATAAACTGAAGAAAAGATGACGTGGTGTTGGGTCTTCTTCCACCTGATAGAGAGATAAAAGAACCTGTGTCCAAGGAGAGCCAGAAAAAAACGAAAAGCTGACTCTCCCCAACAAAACACACAACAGAACACACACTGGTGAGAAACCCTTTTCCTGCTCAGTTTGTGGCCAGAAATTCTGTCAGAAGGCACACTTAGTTTCCCACACAAGAACCCACACTGGTGAGAAACCTTTTTCCTGTTCAGATTGTGGTTAAAGATTCTCTCGTAAGGTCCACTTAATTAGCCACACAACAACCCACACTGGTGAGAAACATTTTTCCTGCTCAGTTTGTGGCCAAAAATTCTGTCAGAAGGCACACTTAGTTTCCCACACAAGAACCCACACTGGTGAGAAACCTTTTTCCTGTTCAGATTGTGGTCAAAGATTCTCTCGGAAGCATTGCTTCATAAGGCACACAAGAACCCACACTGGTGAGAAACCGTTTGCCTGTTCAGTTTAAGGCCAAAGATTCTCTCAGACGGGAAGCTTAAATTATCACAAAAGAACCCACACTGGTGAGGAACCGTTTGCCCATTCAGATTTTGCCCAAAGATTGTCTCACAAGGGAATCTTAAAAATACATGCTTCAACTCGCACTGCTGACAAACCTTTTTCCTGCTTAGCTTGTGGGTGAACATTCTCTCAGAAGGGAGACTTAAAAAGCACGTAAGAACTCACACTGGTGAGAAACGATTTGCCCCTTCAGATTGTGGACAAAGATTCTCTCAGAAGGGACACTTAATGAACCACACAAGAACCCACACTGTTGAGAAACCTTTTGCCTGTTCAGATTGTGGTCAAATATTCTCACAGAAGCAAAGCTTAAAAGTCCACTCAAGAACCCACACTGGTGAGAAAACATTTTCCTGCTCAGTTTGTGGTCAAAAGATTCTCGTGGAAATCTCAGACGAAGAATCACTAAGTGTGATGATGAGATGAACAGTTTTTCACCTGTCATCTGAGCAGGCTTCATTGGTCCATGCACCAAGGCTGATTGTGTTTTATGCACTTTTCCTTGACTGCATTGAAACGTTTTTTTTTGTTTGTTTGTTTTTTTGTTTTGTTGTAATGAATTCTAGCATTGTCATCAGGGTCAGAATGCTTTTGTTGTTGTTTATTGTTTATTGAACATAAAAAACATATACAGTAATAAACTGACAGAAAGTAATGGTAAGTAAAATTGTAAAAAAGGTAAAGAAAACCGGCATCATTCAGCACAATTTAATGTTCAAAGGAGTTGTAAGAAGTATAAAACTTATCTAGTCCTACCCCTTATTATCTATGAATATATAAATAGATCGTTTTTCTGTCAATTAGAAAAGAAAAGGAAAAGTATGCATATGAACACTCTTATATGTGCTATACCTATTTTTTCAACTTTTGGTTTGTATAGCATTATATACACATACACTCTTGTACATTTAAATGTCGATTTTCTTGTTCGTGTTCTCGTGCATTACATTTCTACATTTCATACATTTATCAACTTTCTCAATTCTGATCGATTGCTATTTTTAATAAATGTTTCAAATTTATCAACTTAACTCTGATGTTTTTTGTACTATTCTCTTAAATTTGCTTTTTAACTCAGCAAGCGATTTACTCATTTTCAGGTCCGTTTAAAAATTATTCCACAGATTAACACCAATTACAGATACACTCCTTTGCTTGACGATTGTTCTTGTTTTGGATTTTGTATAGGTTGGTACCGCTTAAATCATAGCAACTTTGTCAAATTTCGAAAAGCTTCTGTATGTTTTGGCAGATCAGGTTATTGTGTGCTTTGAACATTCATTGGGCAATTTTGAAGTTAACCAGGTCATGAAATGTCATAGTGTTTAATTTGATAAATAGTGGATTCGTGGGTTCCGTATATTTTGATCTTTTAATTATATAGTTCTGATTGCTTTTTTTTTGTAGTCTTAAAACAGGGAGTGTGTTTGTTGTATTGGTGTTTCACCATATTTCCACACAGACCATATATGGTCGTAATAATGAAGAGTATAATGCATAGAATTTTTTTCAAACGGCATAAGGGTTAAGAGCCCTATAATGTCTCAACATACAGTAGATGGCGTGACTAACCATCCCCACCCAGTCCTCAAATAGGCCACGCTCAGCTTTTTAGCGCAGAGCAACTTCCCGGAGACTTCAGGGCTGTCTACCGCTGACGAAGCTTCTGTGAGAGAAGCGAAACGTCCTTTTTTGTTTTTTGTTTTTTACCCACAGGTACAGATGACGACTGACAGAACCCTTTCTACGATACAACAAACACAAACATATCAAGTAGACTCGAACAAAAGAACTACAAGTCCCAACGGTCAAAACCCGGAAGTGGAGCGCCGGCATGATTAACTCCAGCCGTAATGCAAATTACTTAGTTAAAACATTCTAGTGCAGCCGGGCAAACATGACAACTATGCAAAAAAGAACTAAATAAAGACACCACTGTTCCAGCAAGACTTTAGCCCACGGAGTTTAAACTGCCGATTGCGAACAGTAACTGACTGTGATTGTGATGCGGCAAACATAAAGCACAATGGACGCAACGCAAAGCAGACAAACAAAGCAACCGATCATGATTGAATCTAGAAGATAACTTTACATGTCTGATAAAGAAAAGGACACAAACGTAACTCACTATTGGGCCATGCCGACGACAAAGTGAGTGTTTTAATTAACGAAATAAACTGCGATGCCGCTTTTTATAAGTCACGCGAACGTCCCCTGTCAGTGGCAGTCCCGCCCCTCTGAAAGCGCCAGGTGAATCCAACAACCTGGGTGTTCTCAAAAATAAACTTGACTGGTCTACCAACACAAACGCCCTGATCAGGAAGGGACAGAGCCGCATCTTCCTGCTCAGGAAACTGAGGTCTTTTGGGGTTCAGGGGTCACTTCTTAAGACCTTCTTTAACTCGGTGGTGGCTAGGGCCATCCATTATGGCATTGTCTGCTGGTCAGGCAGCATCTCGGCGGGGGACAGAAAGAGACTGCAGCGACTGGTCAGGAGGGCCAGTTCCGTCCTGGGCTGCTCCCTGGACACTCTGGAGGAGGTGGGCAACAGGAGGATGCTAGCTAAGCTAAAAGCTATGATGGACAGTCCCTCCCACCCCCTCCAGCCAGCCCTGACAGCACGAAGTAGCTCCTTCAGCCAGAGACTGTCACACCCGCGCTGCAAGAAGGAGAGATACCGCCGCTCGTTCCTACCGACTGCTGTCAAGCTGCTGAGTAAACATACATACATGAAAACCTGTAACCATTGTAAATAGCACAGCCACCTTATGCTGCATATATGCAGTTGCATATCTGCTAATATCTATATCTTATATTTATATTGCATTCTGTACTGTGTACAGTTATTTTTCTGAAACATTTATTTTGTGCATGCAACACAGTTTTTCGTTTCGCGAAACGTCCTTTTTTGTTTTTTTACCCACAGGTACAGATGACGACTGACGGAACCCTTTCTACGATGGAACTTTCCTGTACGACTGAGAGCCTCCACAAGCAGTGTACGGTTTTCAAAACCAGCCTTACTCTCTGATCTAAAAATTCACCTCACGTGGGCTTTTTCATCTTATCTTGTGATATTTGACGGGGTTTGATTTCGTTTCTGGAAAATTAAGAAAACAATGTATTTTTTTAAAGTAGAAAACGTTAAAATTCGTGATTTGACCTTTCTTTTAATATCGAAAAACCAACATTGAAATACAGCTTGATATTCTATGTTGTTGTCTGTAACGTAGAAGAAAAAGTCTACAAACAGGTTGATGTTCATTTTTTACAGAAAATAGAATTTGCACAAGACACATGGACACGGGTTTCTTTTTCGATTCCCGGAAGTTGTCACAGGACAGCATTTCTCCCATTGCCCAGAAGAGGGCGACAACGTGACGCCTGAAGACGATATCGTGACCTGTCATCTTAAATTCCACAAACGTGCGACAGGTGTAGAAAATTGTTGGTACCCTCTCTTACAGAAATAAAAAGCAAGCAAGCAAACAAAAAGAAGAAAAGTATTTAAAAAAATGAGTGAAAATCAGAATATCCTGTTGAAATCTGGTTTGAATAATAATCATACCTCTACCAGTACTATTACTTGGGTTGCGTCGGCGCCATGAGTACGTGCTTGCGCTCACACGCGCACAGCAGAGAGCAGCGGACTATTGACTGCTAAGGCTTCACTCGAGTGGCGTTGCTACAGTACGTGCATATTATGGAGCAGCTCCCGGAGAAACGTATATTGTCACCGTGTAGAGCCATTTTGATTTCCTTTTGGAGAAGAGGGTATTTATTCAAATCTCCTTGTCTCACCAAGTGCCTCTCGGATCTTTGATATGTCTTATTCCATTCTAATTCAAATTAATTTCATGGTAACTCTTAGTTTACTATTCACATATTTTATTGCAGGTGAAATGTTGAATTTGCCATATAGAAATATCATATACCAACAAAAGCACCTCTGCAACTACATGTAGCATGGTACTCATCATTATGAGTTTGTTTTTCGAAAACTGTTCTGTATGCCAAATTTGTTAGGTTTGGTTTTTTTAGATGACCTGTGGCAACATTTGGATGATGAGGTCGGGAGACTGGGAAGAAGTGAAACAGCAGATGCTATACCTGAGGTCCAGCGATACCTGACAGAGGAGAAAATTGTACGCAGTCAAGACCCGCTGTTATAATTGAAGGACCAACACACTACTTTTCCAAACCTCTCCAACCTTGTAGTTTCTCTGTTCGCCGGCATCATCAGTGCCATGCGAGTGTGTGTTCTCCACAGCAGGGGAAATAGCATGCAAGAAACGCAACAGACTGAAATTCAAAACACTGGAGCAATTTTTATTTATTTTCCTGACTAAAAATTTGTGAAGGCAAAGCCCACAAGCATCCTCATTTACATAATTTTCACCTTATTCAAACTTATTGAATAATACAATATGAATGCATAAATGTGAATGATATTGTATACACTTCATCGTCAAATCAGTCAGTTCAGTCTGTCAAGTGGGTTGCCTGCAGGGATTGTGAAAGTCCAGCAGGTGTCAGTGGTCAGCGACACAGTATAAACACAGTCTCAGCACAGTGTGCCATTGTGTCAACACGCTTCATGAGGCCTCATGGACCCACCACTAAAGCAATCAGACATCAGTGGAAAGAATCAGAATCAGAATCGCCTTTATTGTCATTGTATAGCATACAACGAAATTTGGGTGCCACTCCTTAGTGCATTTCGTAAAAAAGATAAAATAGAATAAAATAACAGTTCAATAAATACAATACTCAAAACAACACACAACAACAGCAGCAGTATTGGTAGTGTGGACTGAGGCTTATGTCGCGCTCAGGACACATATTGCACATGAAAATGGATGGCTCAGATGTTCCTTATTGCACAAGTGAGGTAGATGAGTTCAGGTTTAAAAATGCAGTAGCTTGGTCATATTCTGTGATTATTTATTGCAGGAATGGCTTTAGGAAAAAAACTGTCTCTGAATCTGCTTGTCCGGGTTTTGTGTGATCTGTAACGCCGACCCGAGGGTAACATAACAAACAGGTGGTTGCTGGGGTGGGATGCATCCTTAATGATGTTGGCAGCTCTGCTGAGGTAACGTAAGCTGGCAATCACCTCCAGGCT